TATGACATTCACTGGGAGCTGGCTAGGGGCTGCCCCCAAGACAGTACTCACCTACTTGAGCTGTTTAGCTATTTAAGTTACTGGGTGTTCAACATTCACAGTAGCTGCAATTAGGAATGAGGTTAGATAGCTGGCCCCAGGCCATACAAATATGAACAGGAGAGCCGGGACTTGAACCCACGCATTTTGGCTTTGTATATATTTATCTCCCCATGCTGCCTCCTGGTCAGGAAGCCAAGAACTGTACCAAGTACTGCAGGGACAGAGGTTGAGGCAGCCTGAGGCTCTCGGTGCTTTCTGCAGGCCAGTTACTTCCTTTCTGTGCTGGGGAGGCAAGGGTTAACCTTACCCTGCTATCTCACCCACGCCAGAGGCTGCCAGGATGAACTGTGCAAGAACTTGCTGGAGGTGGTTGAAGCAAAGCCTCCCCTTCTAATGACAACTGGTGTTCACCCTGATAGCAACCGCAGGCCCTCAGCGGCCCCCCCAGGGTGTGCGGGAGCCCTGCACTGACTCTGTTTTGCTTTGGCAGCGGAGCACACCCGCCTCCCGTTGCTCCAGCCCTCCTGTTTACCCTGCAAACAGCCAAGTGCTCCACACCATCATTTAGAGGCCAGGGGGCAGCTGCCATGGGGCACCAGGCAGTCCAGGCCTGTTTGAGCTGTCCTGGGACCTGAGGACTGCACGCGCCCAGAGCCCATTTGCCTAGGATTTAATGGGCCCCCACACCCCTGCTACTGCCGACAGGCAGCGGAGGGGAGGGGAGGGCGGTAAAAGGGGAGGGTGCTGCTGGGCTCTAGGTGACTTGGCTCTTATTGAGCCCCATGACCTTGAGCCTCTGGCTCTCAATGTCTCAGTTTCCCCATTATAATCTGCCCTTCCAGAGCTCCAGAGAGCAGCAAGCTCCTGGACTCAGAACATTCTGGTTCAGCATCTCTTGGGAGCAAGACCATAGGACCCTGACAATCATTAGCATTCATTGTTGTTAGCAGAGCTCAACAAGAGGCATTGGACGAAGACTTTCAAAACTTGTCATTGAAGTATAACATACTTTCAGAGAAGTGTGCATATCGTAAATGTGCAGCTCAATGAATGCTCAGACCCCAAGCACACCTGTGTAATTAGCACCCAGATCAAAGGCAGAATACCCCCAGCACTCCAGAAAAAGCCCTCATACTCACCCTGTAGCCACAGCCACCATTTGACTGGCATCGTCTCTTTAGTGCTCACCACAATTCCATGAGGTTCGTATGAAATCATTCACATTTTATAAGTGAAGGAACAGGGCCTCAGAGTGGTCCACCACACCTGCTAGTGATTGGGCCAAGATTTGAACCCAGGCCCTTCATCTCCAGAGTCCACACCTGAACCACTGTGCCGGGAAAAGGGGCAGGCCTGGGTTAAGGTACAGATAGGGCCTTGTCACACCACCCTTGCCTTCTAGGAACTTCCAGGTCCAGGGAGCTGAGGTAGAAAGTCTTAACCACCCCTCACATGTGTCAGTGTTGTGTTATTTCTCACCTGTCTGCCCAAATTGATAGGACAGGGACCATGTCTTGTTTGTTTGCCACTCAAATCCCTGCCGGATGCCTGGAACACAGCGGTGCTCGCTAAATATTTGCCACATGAATGAATGAATGAATGAATAAATGAATGAGGGAATGAATGAGAAAGAAGGAAAGGAATGACGGTAGAAGGGAGAGAGGAAGTAGGGGAGGAAGACTGAGGGCAAGTCCTTTCTCCAAATTTTAAGCTCTGCCTCTCTCACCTGCCCCATGCTCGTTACCACACCTGAACTTTTGTTACAGACTTCCATTTCTAAAATGTCTTTTCAGCTCAGCCCTAGGCCCCCTAAGGCCACAGTGGCTACTATAATGTTTTCTCCACCTACCTGATGGTGGGCATGGGTCAGAGAGGGTAAGGGAATCAAGGTCGCCTCCAAGGGCCCCCTGAGCACAGTCTCCCCATTGCCGTCCCCACACTTAGGCCTCCCTCTTCCCTAGCTGTATCCCAAGTATTGCACCTCTCACCTTTGCTCCTGCTCTCCTTCTGTCTGGAGAGAACTTCCCTCTGGTCCTTCCACTTGGCAGGAAGGGCCACACTTCTTTTTTGTTTTTCTTTTCTTTTTTTTTTTTTTGGAGATGGAGTCTTTCTCCGTCACCCAGGCTGGAGTGCAGTGGCATGATCTCAGCTCACTGCAACTTCTGCCTCCCAGGTTCAAGCAATTCTCCTGCCTCAGCCTCCCGAGTAGCTGGGATTACAGGCACCTGCAACCACACCCAGCTAATTTTTGTATTTTTAGTAAAGATGGGGTTTCACCATGTTGGGCAGGCTGGTCTCGAACTCCTGACCTCAGGTGATCCACCCGCCTTGGCTTCCCAAAGTGGGGCCACACTTCTGATCATTTGAGGTTCCACTTGTGTCATTTCCTATCTCTTAAAAATATATATATTTTAAAATTTTGTAGATTTAAGGGGTAGAAGTGCAGTTTTTTCACTTGGATATTTTGTATAGTGGTAAAGTCTGGGCCTTTAGTTGTAACCATCACCCAAACAGCATACATTGTACCCATTAGGTCATCTCTCGTCCCTCATCCCCTCCTAAAGACCATCCCACATTTCGTCTCTCCTTGATTCCCTTCCTCTATGATCTCACCTCCCCCGAGGTAGAAGGCCTCACTCCTGTACTGCCTTCCTCTGGTGCTGTAAACACACCTCCATAATCATTTGCATCTAATGAGCTCTAGTGATGGATTCCTGAATCTCTGTCCCTCATTAGACTCTGTGCTATGACGGCAGGATTCAGGAACAAATTAATTGTCTTCACGCTCTGTGTTTGTTATAGTGCTGGGCATAGAGCAGATCCCAATAGGCGTTGACTCCACCAAGTAATTAAAGGGTAGCTATCCGACTCAGATCCTTGATGCATCAACTTCTACCATCCAAGAATGTTCTTTGTAATAAACAAAATTCAAATGCCCACCATCCCTGCAACTCGAATTTATTCTTTCCTAAGAACAAACGTTAGAGGGTGAGTAGGGAGAGGATATAGGTCATTTAGGAGAACTGAGAAATTGACACTAAAAGGGCGAGAAGAAGAGAAGCTCATCTTCATGTCTTCCCCAAGGACTGGCCCCAAGTTAGGCTTAGTGTTCTCCAACCACTCCTTCTGCTTCTCTTCCCGATGTTTGACAGCTAGAAAACCGAATTGTGTCTATTCCTAACTCTTGACACTTTTGCTTTAGGATTGTATTACCTGCGAAGTCAGGAGGTCTGGGCCCCTGCTGTGTGACCTCGGCCAAGCTCTTTCCCTCTTTGAGCTGCTGTTTCCCTGTTGGTGAAATGAGGGCGGCGAGGATCAAGATGCTGTTTACAGGGCCCTCTGCTCTGACATACTGACTCCTCTACGGTTTCTTTGGATTGTGGAGATATTCCCTTCTCCCCTACTGGAAGGTGTAGGTCTAACTCTTAAGTTAAAATAAATTTTGTCAGGAGGGTTTTCTGAGGCTTTCATGGAAGATGTTTCAATAAGACTGGAGATTCCCTAACAGTGACAAAAACACAACAAGAAAAATAGCTACTATTTATTGTTTGTTTGTGCCAAGAGTTCACCATAGCTAAGAGCAGTGACTCCTGATCGCACCCTGTGAGACAGGTGCTGTGTGTTCCCAGTCATTTGTGTGAATACTGAGGGCCAGAGAAGTAAAGTCAAATTTGTCCGGATTTACTCTGTAAACAATTGGCAGAGTCACTATTCCAAACCAAGTCTGCTAGATTCCAGAACCTGGGAGCTTGAGGATGAAGCTGGACCCCAGCCTAGACCTCCGTCTGTGGTAGCACGTATCTTGAGGGAGGTCTTAAAATCATGGCTGCTCAGAGTCTTAGCCAGAACCAGTGAGGCCACCTGGCGAAATTTAACTAGCTGCTGTCTCAGAGAAGGAAACTGAGACACAGAAAGATTTAGTGACTTGCACAAATTGGTGGTTCCCAATACTTCCGCATTCATGGACCACTTTGGAATATTGAAGCCTGAAGGACGTATTCAAAAGGATGACAAAGCAAACACCACATTTTATTAAAATAACTTTGGGGGATATATTGATGTTTTGGGTAAGTGTTAATTAAATACATGAATGAACACATGAGCAGAGACATGCATTTTTAGCTCTGCCTCCTCATCACCTTCTCCAGGGTTGGCCACTCTGTAGGCCCCAGAGTCTACTTCGTTGATGGAAGGAGTGACAAACACACTGAATGACACCCGAGATCTCAGCAACCCACCAGTTTCTGCCTGGAGGCTTGGGATGCTGGGATGGGATGTGTGGTCTCAGACCCAGCTTTCCATGACTTCCTAAGATTTGCAATTACCACCAGGGCCAGATAAAGGCAGTGGGAGACTCTAGGAACACCTGGTTTATAGCCCCAGACCCACAACTTTTCAAAATGTCTTTCTCAAGCTTAGAAAGCTTGGTGCTAGACAATAGCAAAGACTTGGAACCAACCCAAATGTTCATCAATGACAGAATGGATTAAGAAAATGTGGCACATATAACACCATGGAATACTATGCAGCCATAAAAAAGGATGAGTTCATGTCCTTTGTAGGGACATGGATGAAGCTGGAAACCATCATTCTGAGCAAACTATTGCAAGGACAGAAAATCAAACACTGCATGTTCTCACTCCTAGGTGGGAATTGAACAATGAGAACACTTGGACACAGGGTGGGGAACATCACACACCGGGACCTGTCATGGGGGAGGGGGAAGTGGGGAGGGATAGCATTAGGAGATATACCTAATGTAAATGACAAGTTAATGGGTGCAGCACACCAACATGGCACGTGTATACATATGTTACAAACCTGCACGTTGTGCACATGTACCCTAGAACTTAAAATGTAATTTAAAAAAAAGACAGAGAGAGAGAGAGAGAGAAAAGAAAAGAAAGCTTGGTGCTAGAAAGCTTTTTGCTTCAAATAACAGAAGGCCTGCCTAGAAGTGGTTTAAGCAGTGAGTTCATTTATTCTCCCACATTACAAGAACTCTGAGCCATGAAAGTTCCAGAATATCCCTTCCATCTTTCTGATCCTTTGCACATTGGTGTGGTCTTGGCTCACCCCCTCATGGTTGCAATGGGGCAGCTGCAGCTTCCAGCATCACATCCCCATGTCAGTGTCTGGCATGGGAAGGTTGTTGGGAAAGAAACAAAGAAGGTTGTTTGTTTCCATGAATAAATTACATGCCCATGTGTAAGGAAGCCTGGGCAAGACAGTGTCTACCATTTTCAGCCTCTAAGATGGAAAGCGAGTTCTGCCTGCAAGGAAGACATGCTTTGCGTTGCGGGAGGGTGGCTGCTGGTTGGTTAACCAGATGTACCTGCCACAGCTGACAAACAGGAGTCTATCACCCACTCCTCCAATATAGCTCTGCTGCCGCCTCTCGCGTGGGACATGGAGTGATGGAAGCAAGGGAAGCTCCTGCTGGGGTCACAGGTCCCAGCAGTGGCTTGTTCTCCATTCTCCCCACTTGCCCCTCATCCTAGGCTGCCCAATTCTTTCTTGTCCCTAATCTGTGTGAAGATGGGGAGTGCACGCAGGGATGATCTCTTACCGCAAAGACAAAACATCCATAACATGCCAGGTCCTGAGCTGAGCACCTAATCTTTTGTCTCATTCCTCTTCACTACAATTCCCATTTTACAGGTGAGGAAGCTGAGGCTTGGAGAAGGGAAGGGACTGGCTCAAGGTCACAGAGTAAGGGAAGAAACTGGGGTTGGGACTCAGTTGTTGACTCCAGAGCCTGCCCTCTCAGAAGTTATTATTGAATCACCCTCACTTAAATGCTCTGGGCTCCAATTCTAGAACCAATGAGCTGGAGCCCTAATTTTCATTCTGCCAGCATCTCCTTGGCTCAAGACCACCCCTTCTTTCCCCACCTGGCCTGGCCTCAGCTGGTCCCTAATCTAGGCTCTGTCACTTGCCTGACTCCTTCTCTCCTACTAGTTATTTCTTTGTATGTGTCTGTGTGTGGCGGGGAGTGGGGCTAAATGGGAGTCACATCCACCTGCCACCTTCAGGAGAGCTCTCTCCGGACAACTTAGACCCACAGCCTCCCCAAGGTCCTGCTCTGCTCCCAGGCAGGCCTTAAAAGGTACGCAGGCAATCAGACCCGATCTTGGAACCACCAGTGTGGAAAATCCAGGGGAACAAATCCTGTTGACTCTGGGCAGGTGCAGCTGTCACCATCCCCAGCCCCAGGTTCTGACTGGCTGGCCCCTCAGGCTCAGGGACAGGCAGGGGAGGGCAAGGGTGCTTGCTGCGGGAGGACGAGGAAAGAGGGTGCTGTGTGCCCTCAATGGCCATCGCCATGCCGGCCCCAGCAGCCCCTCTGCTGGAATGAACGTGTTCCCCACCATGGAGGGAAAACCCACTGAACAGAGTGAGGTTGCACCTGCCAAATAAACACAGTGAACCTTCTTGTCAGTGTTCCCTAAAATAAAGTCAGATGCTCCCAGTCTCCAGGGTCTTGTTCTTTGGGAAGTGATCCCCTCCACTAACTAGTTCCTATAAGAAAAATCCGACTCAGAGGAGAGCTGTGAGGCACATAGCAAATAATATACTGTATCCTGTCCATCTCGCTGTGCACATCCCTGCCTCAGGATGTAAAATGCCCATATAGGAAGGGCATTCATCTTCCTCTTACAGTGGAGAACCCCTTGAAGTTGAGCATAGAAATCCTTCTCCCCACAAATATTTCTGGAGCCCCTGCAGTGGGGGCTCAGATGTCATCCCTAGCTTAGAGCACTGCACAGGCCTGCACCACGCTCCACCCATCTATCCATTTATTCATCTGTCCACCCAGTGAGTGCTTGCTGAGTGCTGGCTGTGTGCATCCCATGCTGCACACTGAGGGTCCAGGGACCAAGACATCCCTGCCTGCACAGGATGTACTATGCAGTTGAAGAGACAAACAGGGCAGCTCATGATCAGGGAGCTAAGAGCCTGGAGTGAGGCTTATCCCCAGCTCTGCCTGAGCTTAGAGTTTAACCGGGCTTTGCGTCATTTCAATGCTTTCAGGAGCAGAGGATGCTCTCAGAAAACACCCAAGGCAGGGAGTGATCAGATTTGTGTTTTGGGAAAACCACCTTGGACTTGAGAGGGTGGGTTGGAGGCAGACATTGTCTGAGAGGCTGATCCAGAGGTGAGACACGGCGGCCTGAACCGAGGTAGAAGAGGAGGGGGAGGGGCAATGGAGGGGATGGATTTGAACAATAATCAAGAGGTATCGCCAATAGGACTGAGTGAGAGATAAGGTGAGGGTGGTGAGGAAGACAGAGGGTCAAGGGTGATGCCCACATTTCTGAGTTGGGCAGTTTGGTGGACATTGGCGCCCTTTGCTGATGAGAAAAGGGATCCTGACAGAGGGGGTTGATTCACCAGGTCATTCTCAAGTCAGTGGAACTGGAGGAGAGTTCAAACTTCTTCCCGAGGTACTCCCGTCCCAGGAGACGATGGCCTTGGTATGCCCATGGGAGAGGGCTCCTGTGGGTTTGAGAGAGGGGAAAGGTGGTTTTCAGTCAAGGGTTCTCAACCCAGGGGCCATTTGTCAGTGTCTGGAGTCATTTTTGGTCATTGTGACTCTGGGGGTTGGGGGAGGTCATGGCATCTAGTGGCAGAGGCAGGAATACAGCTAGACACCCTACAGGGCACAAGACAGCCGCCCACAGCCAAGAACCATCTGGTCCACAAGGTCAGTTGTGCTCAGGCTGAGAAACTAACAGGCCTTAGGGAAGCTGAACAGTGAAGATGAGTCGTGACAGCTGTGGAACCAGATGCTCGCATTCAAATCTCAGCTCTACTGATTAGTAGGTGTCTGATCATGGGCAAGTTACCTGCCACTTAAAGGAGCCCACGCAGGTCCTGGTGTATAAGAGGTTGGCATTTAGTAAATCGTAGGGGGTCTCCAAGCTCGTCCATGAATCAGCTCCAATGGCCACACCCTGGGAGTGTGTGGAAGCTTACCTGCAAGCCCTGGATACTGGGTCAGAAACCTTTATGTAGTCACTATGATCACAGTTGCCATCATGGGGCTTTTAAGAAGGCAAGGCACCGTGCAGTGTTTCACATGTATTGACTCATGTTACCTTCAGAAACGCTGCCAAGTAGGGCTTTTATTTCTAAATAGGGGGAATAAATGGGGGAAACAGAGACTCAGAGAGGTTGAGAGTGTGCTAGGCACTGGGAATACATGGAAGAATAAAGCTCATCTGTGTTCTCCGGGACTTCAGTCTAGTTAAGGAGACAGGAAGATAAACCAATACTACTAACATGACAACAGTAAGTGTCATTTCCACTCAGCCTCATCTGACATGTATTCAACAAATAACTGATAAGTATCTACGACAGGCCAGGCCCTGTCTTGGTCGCCTGAGTTCCTGCCCTCGAGTAGTTCAGTCTAGTGGGCGAGACAGATTATAGGATGCCCAAGCGATGCATGCCCACCAGCAGCTGTGTGGCTTTGCATTTCCCAAGCACCAGGTTCTTACAGGCTTTGGCTCATTTAATCTTAAAATGTATCATGATGAGACATTATTGCTAGGCTCATTTTGTGGTTTGGGAACTGAGGTTGTAAAAGATTAAGTAACTTGCCCAAAGTCTTAAGACTGGTTTTTGGCAGAGCCGAGTTTGGACCCCTGAGCTTTCATATGCCAGTGCTCGAGGTCTTAACCCCTCCAGTGGATGCCTGCCCTGTTCTGCTGGGAGCCCCTGCTCATGCTGCACCCAGCGGCTCGTCTGCCACCTGAAGTCTGTTTGCTCCAGATATCCCTTTGAACTTCATCCTTCTGGAATTGACTGGCAATCAGCCCTGTGCCTGCTTAACATTGAGGAGAGGAGCTGTTGCAAGGTGCAAAGGCGGTGAGATCCTAAGAGATGGCAGCCAGAAGCTTGCTCCTGTGGGGCCCAGATGCATGGTAGACATCTCCCGGTGCACTTCCTACCCATCCAGACAGGATGTCCTTGCACTGATGTGATCTTCAATGAGGAAAATGGGGTTCAATCTGTTCTCTGAGAGAGGCTGTGTGAACCAAAACAAAAGGAAGAGGAAATTCGAAATGACAGTTTCATAAAAGGTGCTCTCTGCAGGAATCCAGGGAGGCTAATTTGCCTTACCCAGTTTCCGTTTTCAAATGTCCTTCAATGAAATTCAGTCAAATGGACCCAGGGAACTCATCTTTTAACAAAATACAGACCAGGGGTTCCCACTGTCCTGGAAACAGACCCCAGGGCCACATACAAGTTGTTGCTGGGCACCAGCATCCCAGCCGAAGCCCCAGTGTTGCCTGCACATGGAAGAACTGTAAGTCCTGCACATTTTTGTTCAACTGTCTTTGGATTCTGTTCATTCCGCAAACATTTATTGAGCATCTCTCAGATGCAAGGCACTCTACAGCAAACTAAAGACACAATGGTGAGGCAAGGTGGTGTCTGTCCTCAGGGGACACACTGAATGGAAGCTATTTTCAGGGCTCCTGTTACTCTGGGGGCTTGGTCTCTTGCCTCCAGCAATAGGCAGTGCTTTTAGAGAAGCTAAAGAATGGATACACCTAGCTAGGACATGGAATGTTCTAGAATGAGAGTGTCAGGCTGGTCTCTACATTCAGCTGTTGGGTTCCCACGAGGACTCTCAGAATTGGTAGCCATTGGCCAGACAGGATCTTCACTAGTGGAGTTGGAGAAGTTCTTTCAGTGAAGAAAAATGGTCAGGCTGATATCATGAAGACTGACGGAAACTTGGGAAACTTGGCACACTCTGATATCAATATGAGCTCTACAAATCATGGATGAAATATAGAGTTTTAAATGGGGCTGGAGCTGAGTTGCCTCCCAATCATTCATTCCTTCACTCATTCATTCAAAAAATGTGTTGTATGCCTGGCACCATGCCAACTGCTTGACATGGGCTATCTGAAGCTGCAGAACATCTCATGAGGTGGTGTTATTAGTGCCACATTGTACAGATATGGAAACTGAAGCCCAGAGAGAGGAAGGAAGTTACCCAAGGTTGCACAGCCAGAAAGTGGTACTGAGCAGAATTAGGTCAAACCTTGACTCTGCCACCTTCGGCGGTGTGACCTTGGAATAAGATAACTTTACAGAGTCTTGTTTTTTGCTTTTTCTGTGCAAATTGGCTATAATGATCTTTACCCCAACGCTGCTATGAGGCTTAAATAAGATAATGTTCCCAAAGGACCTGGTCTATAGATACCCCTAGTACACTTTAATTCTCCTTCCCTCTTCTGTCTCCAAGGGATTTGAGCTGCAGCTCCCTCTAGAATCAGGTGGGTTTGCTCTATCTCTGAGAATTGGCCCTCAGACCTCAGCCCACCCATTCCTGGCCTTCTGGGGGCATCTGGAACAGCTGCTCAGAGAGCACTGGACAGGTCCGGTTCCCTGGTAGGTGAGTTCCAGGGGTGCTGCCCTGCAGAACAGTGTGTGGGAAGGGCGGAGGCTTCCCTCAGCTGAGAATGTAAGGACTCAGCAGCTCTAGTTCCCATATCTCTGTGCCTGGGCACTGCTGCCAGAAACTAGCAAGGCAATACCTGTTTTAAATGTAAGTTCATCAAGATTAGGGGGGAAAAAAGTGGAAATTCTGCCTAAGTGCTAGCACGTAAAAGGGCCTGCTTTTCCTACGTGGAGCCCCGTGAGCTGGTTTTCTTGGAAAAGCTAGTGTCAGTCAGAGACCTGACTTGGCCAGCAAGGGGTCCAATGGGCCCCTAACTACTGGGGTCTCAGTGTCCCAATGTCAGTCAGGAGGTGGGGTGGGGACGGATGCCTTGGGTGATGGGGGGAAAGCTCCCTGGGCCCTTTTGGGCTAGAAGACTCAGAAACCCAGCTTGCAGGGTAGGAATCAGATAAAAGGTTAAGAGATGAAGTCAGGAGGTAAAAAATTTCCTGTGACTTTGCACTGTCTCTTGCCAAGTGTTGCACTGGATGCTTTAATAAAAGCATCACCTCCAATCCTTGCAGCATCCCTATAAAAGAAGAATGTGGATTATGACATAAACTACACCTGATAAAAGTTATTAGCTCTGTGATGGGACAGGCAGAAGGGTGAGAGAAGAAGGGTACCATGGCCACCATTTAATGAGGCCTTTGCTCTCAAGATTGTTATTACCAGGCCATTTTATAAATGAGGAAACTGAGGCTTAGAGAGAGAGATCACACAGCTAGTAGGCAGAACTAGGTTTGAAACCAGGCTAGCATGAAGAGTTTAGAGTGAGATAGGGATGAGATGAGGCCCTTGAACTGAGGCCTGGAGATAAGGTGAAAAGGTAGGACAGCTACAAGGGGAGGTGGCTTGGACTGGGTTGGCAGCAGCGTTGGAGTATTGCTGTCAGATTATGGGTCTATCATGAAGGTGTAGTGAACGCCTTTGAGAATGTGATGGAAGCTAGCAACCATCTCCCCAAAAACTGCACCCTCCACACTCCCATGACCTGCTGCATACAATCTCAGGGTGGTTATGAACCTCTCTAGAGCCAGTCTTGGTCTCCACATGCAAGACGCTCATGAGTTTAGGAGTTTTATATTGCGTGGGTGCAGTGCAGCGTGAGTCCTGGCCCACCACTTTTTATGCCCAGCTGTGCTCACAATGTATGCCTATTGGCCCCTCTCCCTTCCCTTCCCCTTGCACTGCCCCTTATCTTCCTGCTGGGACATGCTTGGATGGGAAGGCAGAGCCACTGGAGGTGCCTAGGGTTTCCCAGTTCTCCTTGATCCCCGCTTGGGACACTGCCTCACTGAGCCGAAATGGCCCAGTGTAGATTCTGCTGTCATGAGCAGCACCCTGGCAGCTCCTCCTGCTACGGGCACTGCACACACTCGTGGGCCAGCTCAGGTTACAGAAATGGAAGTGAGTAATGTAGAACTGGCATGTACCAGGAACCCAATAAAAGTGTGCAGAATCTGCGCATACTTTTTTCCATGGTCCTGATAATAGAATGTTGTAGTTATTGGTATATGCCCCATGCCTTCCCCATTAGACTATAAGATCTTTGAGGACAAAAGATAGCAACCTTACCTTATTTACATTGGAATAAGAGGTGGAAAGAGGGATCGAAGGAAAGAGAAAGTGTGCTGTGGACATCACAGTTTCATTTGGTTCAGGTAGAACCTGTTTTATTAACACATTAACTAAGCTGAGAGAATATGAAATTAGAGCTGAAGATTCTTGGATGCAATCTGGTAGGAGACAGTGATTACAGCACAGTGGGATGGAGAAAGCAAGCATTGACCATATCATTTGAACCCCTGGATCTAGCTGAACCTGAAGCCCCTTCTTGGTTTTGTAAGTCACTGTTTTTTGTTTTATTCTTTTATATTTTCTCCTAATACTAGTGTGTGCAGTATATCTGTCACTTCTAACTAAGAGTGTTGACTACTACAGAGGGGTGGAAGAAGTCAAGTGAACAGGAGGGAGGGAGGGCAGGAGAAAGGGATGTCTCCAATGTGTAGGGGGCACAAGAAAACTTGTGTCAGTTTGGATACAGCAGACTCATCCTAAGACCTCTGCAGCTCCCCTTCTGAGGATCTGGGGCTAGAATGCAGCCTCCAGGGTCAGCCCTAGACGAGGGCTTTAGGGAGAGAGGGAGGCTGAAGGTGGCCTCCAGGAGCTTTGGGCCAACAGAAGCCCTGGGAGGTGGGAGAGGGTTAGTGGAAGCCTGAGCAGCAGCTCCTCGTGTTTACAGTAAACAGAGGCGGGTGGCCCAGCCTTCCCTTGGCCCTCAGAGGGGAGGGGAACAGTTGATGGAAAACTCCTCCTTCCCGCCTCCTCTGGGTAATTGAACAGGGGTTGGGTGGTGGGGTGGAGGACACACGGGACTATGAGGTGGTGCAGATTGCACAGTAGGTAAAAATCAACTGAGCTGGAGCGTGGGCTAAAGAAGAAAGCACCCACCCAAAGGCAGGCACTAATGACAACCACAGAGTGGCTGGCAAAAGCCTGCCCCT